TTGTTGATGTTGTTTTGTTGATGTTGTTTTGTTGATGTTGTTTTGTTGATGTTGTTTTGTTGATGTTGTTTTGTTTATGTTTTCTTGTTGTTTATGTTTTGTTTTTGTTTATTGATTTTTTCTTCTTTTCTTTCTTTTCTTTGCGGGGGGGGGGTGAATTTCACACGAGTTTTTATTGTAATTTTTAAAGAATTCATAGGTACAATTAAGATCATACAGGACTTTAGGTTTGTTTCTATAAAAGTTTTATTGTACTTGCAGCACAAATATGTCATTAAGGTGCCCAAGATTAGACGTGTTACAAGAGAATAGGTTAACACAATACCAATAAAAGGAGCAGAGATAAGGACAATAGATGTGCGGATAGGAGAGAAGGGGCGAACAACCCAGGGACGTCCACTAGTCATCCAGCTATTAAGGAGGCGGGCTGCATAGACTTGGCTCTCAAGGTCAACACGGACTAAATGGAGCACTTCCCAGGAACCGTTGAAGATATTCTGTTAAAAACTTCCCCACACGGGAATCGAACCCATGGCATGTGCGTCATATGACGAAAAGCCTAGCCGCTACACCACAGACGCCGGTCTTGTCAACCGGTTTTGTTTGTTCGGTTAATTGGTTTAGTGAGCGTTTTACGGCACTTGCAACACAATTAGGCCGTAGAAGGGTCGAAGATTACAGGCGTCACAAGAGAGTAACACACGCCAAAAGGAAGGAGGAGAGATCAGGGCGACAGATGTTTGGTAGAAAAGAAGGGGAAAACCACACCACAGCACTCGCCAACCACACACCGGTAAAAGATCGATTTCTGCTTTTGTTTTATTGTTTTTATAAGAGTTTTACAGCATTGTAAGGCAATTAAGTAATACAAGGACCGAAGGTTAGAGATGTTACAAGAGAATAACAAAGGCAAAAAAGAAGGAGGAGAGAAAGGGGCAATGGATGTTTGACAGAAAAGAAAGAGCAAACCACACCAGGGCACTCGCCAACCCCCCACGATCGATTCTTGTGTACAGACTTTTATAGCCCAGCATGATACTGAGTTAATAACACACTCTGGTATAACATTATTGGGTTTTTTAAATTTAGCAAGAGTTTTACAGCGCTCGCAATACAATACGGTCATAAAAGAGCCGAAAATTAGAGGTGTTACAAGAGAGTAACAAACACAGAAAAGAAGTAGGAGAGATAAGGACGAAAGATGTTTGATAGGAAAGAAGGAGCAAAACACACCACAGAGCACCCTTCAAATTGATAAGTAGTAAAATGCAAACAGAAATGAATCTTTAAACGGACATTTATGGTATTGAGCCAAATAACAAATATTCTATAAGAATTGACAAACCCCGTGGTAAAATGTAATTTCCTTCTATTATCATTACTTTGACGAGCGCCTGATTTCACCACCACGCTCCATATATTATTATACAGACACAAACAGATACGGTGCCGGCCACCAGTCCCCTCACCCATAAGTCTTACCTCAGGACAGTTTGAAGCAAAAATCCCAACATAGGAATCATTCTTGGGTGGGATCCCCTTGTGGATGAGTCCTGATCCTATGTACTGCGCAGAATCAATCGCCTGGAGATTGTGAAGTAATACACAAAATCAGTGGCTATATTCAGATATCATATTGATAAACCTTTACGGTATACGCATATAACACATAATAATATTTATATATATATATATGTAAT